AACAATTCACGATGATCCCCTGTAATGTTTCATTGGGAATGATTACATTGAGATCATATAAACCATTTGTTTCCCATGCATCGTACAGATATAGGCCACCTGGCATCGAACACGATCCTTCGTTTTGACAATAGCATGGATCTGTCAATCCTAATCGTATATATCTAGTTGAACTTATTCTGACTATTTCTGCGCCTTCAGTGGTATTCGGCTGTGCGGAACTCACAATGTAATTGGTGGAAACACCGGTCACAAAATCGCTCACTAGAGTAATCTGATGCGCCGCTATCAAGGGACGCACAAGACTATCTGATGCTGTTTGACGTAATAAATTCAAGGCTGCTTGAACTTTTGTTTCAAGCAATTGCGGAGGCAAGATCGTCGAACTAATTAGTGATAAATCGTGTAAATCATCTAGTGCATTTACAAACATGGCGATGGATTTTCGGCACAATGCAGTAATTAATTGCCACATGGCACTCAAGCTGGTGCGAACATCCATTGGCCAAAGAAATTGACGATTTATACCGAACGTAAAATCGAACCATATTTGAGAAGTAAACTTACTGGAACATACTTGATGGAATGATGGTAAAATATTGACAAAATTAATGTAGGGAATCGAAATTTTCGTACATGGACATTGTAATGTATTGGGATATTTCTTTTCGAGTCTTTCAAATTGATTTTGAGTAGGAAGTTTCACTGTTTCACTCTTGGTTTGTAGACTCAGCGAAGTATAAATTGTTAAAATGGATATTGCAATGAGAAGTAGAAGAAGAAATAGACGAGTGGAAAAAAGCTCATGACGAATCTTAATCGAGTCGCTTGATTGAGAATCATAAAGATTCCAGATGATCAGTTTGTTACGTGAATAATTGTATAACGTTTGTAATGCGCGCAGTACAGACATTGTACGACAGCCTAGGGAAAGAAACTCACTCGTTCACTTCACTCTTGAATTTTTCTTTGGGATTGAATCCTACTGAATACTATTCAATTTGTTAAAAGAGAGTAAATGCAGTGACATATAGTGCTGTTCTCTTTCTCGATAAAAATTGCCCAGCAACCAACAGTCATCATGATGTCTCTCTCACACATCTTAGTAATTGGAATATATAGGAATATAAATATGCAATCCATTTAAAAGTATTGAAAGTCAGGCCTAACACTTTGGTAGAAAAGCAAAATGCGTAAAAGAGAATGCTTACGCTATGTGCGTAGCTTAGGTTCCGCTTGAATAATATATTTGTTGAACAATATGAAAAATTGTTCATCATAAGTATATAGAAAGAATGAAGGAAACAACAGTGCCAAACAGCTCATACACACGTCAGAAGTAGTCTACAGCCAATACTTTGTCTTTTCTCAAGAATTCAGTAACTAACATGTGTCAAAGAAATTTCAGCCAAGATATTATTTTCTCTCATTATGTGCAATTATATTCTTTCTTCGATGAACAATAGAAAAAGTCGAGAAGCTTTGCCTTTTCCTACACAAGTTTAACTACTCTTTCCGGTTGCCAGAAACAGACGACGATTTCACCGCCTTTCATTGTCATCTGACAAACAAACGTTTGTGTTGTAGTATAGAGCCATACACGGTTTAAAATTCTCTAATCCACACCCGACATTATCTACATATTATCTTTTATACATTCATTTGTGCAAAACTATACATATCACTCTGAACCTTTAATAAACAAGCTCTAACCAAAAGAACATTTACAATATCACATACTTTGTAGAAAGAAACAAGAGCATCCATCGACTTCGATGATTATTGTTTGTAGATCATTTGCCCACGGCACCCACCTAGAGCATGTGAATAAGTCGAATAGAATGAAAATTTTCTAACTGAATTATTCACTGTGGAAACATAACCAGATGATTTTGCCACCATTTCAAGATTGATTCATCATTTGGATGAAATATCTTGATCTTCATGCACTTGACTACCTCGTCATAAGACTCATTATTGTCATTCGATGACGAAACATCGTCGTTGAACATCTTGAGCACATTTTGTGCTGATAGAAAATATCCTTGGGTTTCGCTCGTTTGCTGTTTTTTTGCCGAGTACATTCGTTGTTGACATGTTCATCTCGATCTGCCAGAACATCTTCATCGATTCCGAGTATCTTGATCATCGGTCGAACATTTTTAATCACCTCATCCTGTTCTTTTGTAGATAAGGGTGGACATGGGTGTAGGTGAAGATAAGGCTCACACAAATATCCACACCCGCACCACGCCACATCCACACCCATACCGTTCAATGATCACATCAATGCTCGTGTTACTTAGAAGGACATGGAGAAGCTCAAAGAATTTGATTTCATGCGATTGACTTGAAAAGTGAAATTATATTCGACATGTTCACACTCATAAAAGCTTCTTATTCTTTAGTTTGGTTCAATTTGATAACTCAATGTCTCGTTAAATGTAAGAAGAAGCAAGAGAGAGATGAAAATATCACGATTGACATGTCACGTCGATATTTTCATGCATTAAAGAGAAATGTCGATGTTCACTAGACATTCAGCAGAAAATTAAAAGATCAAGTCAAATAGAATCTGAAGTTTCTTTTGTCAATAACTTCATCTAAAAGAAGATCTTTCGTTACATTAGCCGGGTGTGGGTCTGGGTCTGGATATAGATGTTGTTGCGGGCGTGGGTTTCTTGTTTTGGGTATTCTTGATGGACGCGTATGGCATGCATGTGTGGCTAGGCATGGATGTGAATCTACTACTCGCCCATACCCATACCCACACGCACACTGACACCCACATCAAAGGCGGTCAGGTCTTAAAATATAGCGAAGTCAAATTCGTCTGAACTCGACCAGAGCGCTTCGAGGAAGTCCTCTCTTGATCATCGATCGATTCATTGGTACGCTCTCGACCAATAATTAATAGAGTAATAATAAAAATTCTTATTGCAGCACATTTTATTTTAACGCATACTTCAGATACCCAATTTCCTAAAAGTTCAACTAAAATTCTGGAAAAAGAAGTTAAGAAAATCATCGTGATCAATAATTTGAATATGCTCTTGCGTCATTGAAGGAATTTTTTTCTAAGATCGAGAGAAACAATAAATGTAGGTAATCATGATAATAGCAAACAAAAAATTGTGGGATTTGTAACGTAGAGCAGTTGAGCTAATCCGAAATTCGCACTGCTTGTGTAACCATTGACAGCCGTCTATTTGTGTACATTCAACATCAGTCAAATAAGCTCGGCAATCACCACTGTCCAAATATTTGAGCATGAAAGGACAACGTGTTTTTAGACGATCTTCGATGCCTGATCGGTATGTTAATCTATCTATATCGAACACAAGAACTGTCTGATTTATTTGATAGGATAGCCATGGCTGTTCTCGCAGATGAAACAAACTAAAATAATGAATGAGTTTCGAAGAAAGAATGGCTTCAGCAGCTGTGAATTTGGTCCCTTCTAAATCATTGTGAAATACATAAGGCAATTCAGTAAAATGAGTAGCATTGAAATGATAGGATGTATAATTCCAATGTTCTGTAGGATGTGCAAACAGGTAGGCGTAAACTGAAGATGATAACTTTGATAAATGATCCAGAAGAAATATGGTTGGACAACATATATAGTAATCACCGAATAACCAACTAAGTGCGTCGAAGTAGTTCTTGTTTGTCTCAGTGGGATCATATAGATCGATGAGATCATTTGGGATTTGATATTGTGAAGCCCAAGGACGATATTCGTCTGAAGAGATTGACAATTGATATTGATTGAATAGTAGTACACTGGTTGGCTACCTCTCATTTGCGAGCATAAAGAAAATAAATTTTAAGTAAATTAAAATTTTTAAAATTTCGTTTGATTTAAATTTGATAATTTTATCAATTTTTGTAAAACGATTAAAATTTACATTTAACTTTTAAAAACTCGATTACTGTGAACGAATATTGAAAGTAAATTGTTTTAAAAGATTTTTATAAAAATTTATTTTTTTTACGAAACATGCTGCAATTTGTAGAGGTCGTTAGTTTTTTCACAATAAAAACTTTTTAAGACTCAGATAGTTACTGCAATTTGTAGAGGGCGCAAGTTTCTGATAACAGTGAGTTTTTGATATTTATAGCAATTTGTAGAGGACGCAAGTTTTTGATCAGAGAAATTTTTTAAATTTAGTATTATTGCTGTAATTTTTAGAGGACGTTAGGTTTTTGTTGAATTAAAAGTTTCCTTTGAATCTAGCTCCGAAGAATTTTAATGGAAGTCAAAAATAGAATGTACTAGCAGTTTTTTTTCTGTTGTTATGGATAAACTAATACTCATAGTGCACGAGCAAGGGTCGTCGATTTTGGCTGAACTAAGAACGATTTCAGTTCAAGACAAAGCGAGTTTTTAAGGAGATTGTATCATAATTTGTTGTAATAATTTGACATTTGTTCTGACTGTGGTGCGAACAAATCGAACTGTGTTCGTCAGGAGAAGACGCTCATTAACATCAATATTTCTGAGCCGTCTTTTTTAGAACATCATGTTTTGTATTTATGATTTTTGTCTATAAATGCTTTTGCATCTCAATCAGTGATCTCCTTTTAATGTTCGATTCCATTTTACTATCATAATTATATAGTCTGTTCAAAATCAAAAACCGCTGATGACATTAATAGTAACAATTATGTCTGACAAACTCAATAAATTACAGTCAATTAAGAATTAAAAAAAGCACTACTATATTTTAGTTAGTTAGTAATACCCAATACCGTTTCCGGTGTAGGGTGAGAAAACAAAAAGGTGTACAAAAAAACACAAGAAAGACATCAGAAAAATTACACAGGGAAAAAAAAATGTTAGTGTTCTTCGGTGATTGTTCTGTTGATCATTGTAGAGTACTAATACCAAGTTATTCAGTCTACCATCCTCTGGTGAACCAGTTTAAATAGTAGCCATCATTTAAGTCGAGATGTTAGCTCTCTTACAAGTTTCTAACAATCAATTGGCTGCTGTTTCACTTGATCCTATTCTTCTTACACCAATCTTTTGATTTGAAGCATGCTTTGACATGGTTTGTTATTCCTTGTGGCTTGAACTGTTTACCACATCCGGGACACTTGTAAAGATTATTAATGTTTTTTACTAAGACATCTGTAGCTTTACGATGCCCAACTCCCCGAATCACTGCTAATTCTTTATTTCTTCGATCAATTGCTCTCCTTTTATATTCAAATGTTATTTCTTTGATCTGATAGTGTACAGGCTTGACTTGTGTATTTCTATTTATCGCTTCCCGCCATCGATCCTTTTCCAATGTTAACCTTCTCCAGTTTTTAATTCCAAGTGCATCAATATCATGTACCACCTTCTCTTCCCATCTTTTTCTAATGCCAATGTTTCGCGGCCGCTTCTCGCCATGGAAATATGAAAACATGATCTTCTTAATTAAGGATGGCTCATTATTATCCATTGAAGCTCTGTTAATATGTCCGAACCACCTTAACCTATTTCTACGTATGATATTCTCGATTGATGGTTGCCCAGTTATTTCCAGTAATTTCTCATTTGATAATCTGTCTCCAAGGTTAACGCCAATAATCGTACGTAAACATCTCATGTAAAACTTGTTAATCCTTAGTTCATGTGTTGTTGTAGTGGACCATGTTTCACTACCATATAGGAGCACCGGTAGAACACAAACCCTGAAAATTCGAAGCTTCGCCCCCATCTTAACAGATTTTCGATGCCAAATTGCAAATCTTAACATATTGAATGCCGTGGACGCTTTTGCTAATCGAATTTCTATTTCTTTATCAAGACGTTGATCGCGAGTTACATTACTTCCCAAGTAGGTGAATGAATCAACAATGTTAATCTTCTGATTGCGGATGATGATATTTGGATCAGGATGAATCTTTTCTTGCTCCTTTAACACCTTGCGATCTTGATCTTCTTTGAATTCTTGTAACGACATTATGCAAGTCTTTTTCACATTAAGTGTTAAACCATATTCTTGAGAAATTTTTTCAAAGGCTCCAGTAAATTTCTCTAGATCATCTATGTTCTCGCACATTGCCACCAAGTCATCAGCATATAATAATGTTAATATAGAGAAGTTTTCATAATTTTCACGGTCTCCATGAAAGAAATCATTGCTACCATATGAAAATTGCACACCAGCAACCTTCGCTTCTTCCAAAACCTTTCTGATGATGAAATCAAATACAATATTAAACAGGACTGGTGATGGTATTCCTCCTTGCATAACACCATTGTCAATTTCAAAACTGTCCGACAGTTCACCATTAATTCTAACCTTTGCTTTAGAGTTGTTATATAGCATTCTAAACATTCGAACCAGTTTCTCGGAGATTCCATATTTCCGACATACCTTCCATAATAATTCACGATTAACTGAGTCGTAAGCCTTGGCTACATCAATGAAACATAAAAATAATGGTTTGTTGAACTCTCTCATTTTCTCCATTGTCATTCTTAATATAAATATTGGATCAACCGTTGATCGATTAGGACGAAAGCCAGATTGTATTTCTAATAACTGACTATCGATAAGGTGTTGAATACGGTTCAAGATTATTCTGGAGAAAACTTTGCTAATCACATTGAGCAGTGAAATTCCTCTATAGTTATCACATAGTTTTTTATCATCCTTGTTTTTATATAGTCGAATTAGGATCGCCATGTTCCAATTTTCCACCATTTTCTCATTTTCCCATACATCGTTAAAGATTGAATGAAGGCATTGTAACACCGGTTCACCACCAGCTTTCAAAAGATCAGCTGTAACTTCGTCATTTCCTGGAGCTCTTCTGGACTTCATTTGACATAATGCTCTCCGTACTTCTTCATAGGTAATTTGAGCATTCTGTCGATCTTCTTCTTTCTTTTCAAGAGCTGGTATTTGGATTTCATCAATCAAGTGTTGCTTGACATCGGATGGCACATCAAATAATTCGCTGAAATACTCGCGCCATCGTTCTAATCGATATGTTGAGTTGACAATAAGTTTTCCATTTTTGTCCATGATTGGCATGTTTTCTGATCTTTTACTTCCACCTCGTAGACGCCGTATAATTGAAAATGCTCGAACTGGATCATTTTGTTCCATTGAAATTTCTATCTCCTGACATACCTCGTCCCAGTATTCTTCTTGTCGATGTTCAATCATTGTTTTGGCTGACTTTCGAAGACGTCTGTAACTATTTCGATATTTAGTTTCTAAATTCATACCACGATGATTCTGCCATTCAACAAAAGCCAATGATTTTTGATCTACAATTTTCAAAATGTCATCTGTTAACCATTCTTTCCTTTTTCGATTGGTTGTCTTATCTAATTGAAAATATTTTCCTGCGCTTTCCGTGATACACTTCATAAACATTGAGTTCTTATCTTCAATACTAAGTTGTTCATCATTTGTGTCCTTCAGAGTTCGATGGAGATCTTTTTGAAATTCATTTACCATGTTCTCGTCTTTTAATTTGGTAATATCGATGTTGAATCTCTTTGTGGTAACACTTTTCCTTCTACTTTTCAGGTGAATTTTAATTTTAGTCCGCATTAAATGGTGATCAGTTCCAATCGCACCTGCAGCTCTTCTATACATGCGAACATCTTCGACGCTTGTTCTAAACTTCTTATTCACCAGCGTATAATCGAGAACATGCCATGTCTTCTTTCCTGGATGCATCCATGACGTCTGATGAAATAGTTTATGTTGGAAGAATGTGTTTGAGACGATAAAATTGTTGATAGTGCAAAAATCAATGAGTCGTGTTCCATTTTCATTTTCATCGTCGACCGTAAAAGAACCAATTGTCTTGGAAAATATCTGTTGTTGCTGATTTCTTCCCACTCTGGCATTAAAGTCTCCCATAATGATGATCATATCTTCTGCTGGTGCATTCGTGACCGTATCTTGTAGATCGTTATAAAATTTGTCTGATGTTTCCTTCATTTGTTGACTTGATGGGTTTACAGGAGAGTACACCGCTATCACGGTCATGTTGATGATCTTACAGTTCATTCTGATCTTAATAATTCGTTCATTAATTGCCTCCCATTCAGAACCTGAATCTTTCCATGCCATTGTAGCAATTGGATCTAAAGCGATTGCCACACCATGAGCTTTCTTAGTACGATTATCACTTGATAGACCAGAGTATATGAATGTATAATCATTGACCTGTTTAACTCCGGAATCGTACATGCACGTTTCACTAAGTGCAGCCACCTGAATTCGATATTTCTTTAATTGTTTAATAATAAGTTCTTTCTTTGATTGTTTGACACAAGATCTAACATTCCAGCCACCAAAGTACACATGTTGTTGTGTGTTCGCACACCGACTTTGATTCTTTTCATTAGCAAGAGTTGTTTAACGTCAGGCTAGGAAGTTGCTAGCCTCAGAACCTGACATTTGGCTACCGGTAGCCCAGGGTCGCCTCCTACTGCATAGCAGTAGGCTCCTGTGGAAGTTCGAGAACTTCCCCGGCAGGCTGCTACTATATTTTAGCGCACTCTACAAATTACAGCTCATTAAATTGAAATAATGAAACTCAATCTTTAGCGAACTCTATAAATTTCAACAAGTTTAAAAATATAATTGAAATTTTAATTTGTTTTAAAATTGTTATCAGTAAATTTTTTTGAAATTTGAAAACCGAAAATTGAAGACCTAAGATTATTTTAAATTCCAATAAATTAAATTTAAAAAGCAACTGAAATTTAATTTAAGAGATTTTTAATTTCGATTTTATGTTCGCAAATGAGAGGACACGCACTGGTTTGACCTTCATTTGTCTTGAATCCAACTAGAACGGATGCATTCCGGTTGTATTCACCTTTGCGAATCAAGGTTAATGGTTGCTCTTCTAATTGTGAACCAGTACCAACACAAGGCCACAAATCTATCCAATGTGGCTTCAGTTTTTGGCTAAGTTGACGAGCAGATAAGTCTTGAAAACAAGTAATGTTCGATTGGCATTCGAGGAACGAGTTTTCAAGCATTTGCCTATTTTTCTGTTCTATCTGTTGACATTCCAGCAAGCGATAAGGTCCTGACGATTGCAGCACAATCGATGAATACAATGGCCAGCTGGATGGCATCAACAAATGAGCGACGATAGAACCTCCACCAGCTGATTGACCGAATATCATCACATTCGTCTTATTACCACCGAACGATGCAATATTATTCTGCACCCATTGAAGTGCTAATTGCTGATCAAGCCAACCAATGTTCCTCGTTTCGACATTGGGTAATGGGAAGAAGCCGAATATACCGAGACGATAATTGATTGTAACAATAATAGAGTGAGACAAACGAGCGAGATCAGTCCCATCATAGAAATTGCCACTACCAGAAGTGTAACCGCCTCCATGAATCCACACGCGTACTGGCAATAATGAATGGCTGTTCGAAGGAACCCAAATATTTAGAAACAAACAATCCTCACTTTCATCATCTATTTCCGGTTGACCATGAGGACCATACTGATGGCAAACGGGTCCAAAAACTGTAGCATTAACTACACCAATCCGAAAGCGTGATAATGAGGCTGGTGACCAACGGCTAACAACTTGTCCATAACGAATGCCTAAATAAATATCGACTCCATTCGATGTTAAGCCAACAAGATCACCAGTCTGAGTTCGTATCATTCTCGCTTCGACAGCTATGATAGTCGCCAAACAGATATAATAATAATACGCTTTCATCTCAGGCAACATCGTCAGTTTCACCGCAGTGAATTTGAATAACATCTTTCTCCGTTTATTTCGGTTCTGTAAATGGAATATCTTCAATACTCACCACTTTATTTCGAATATTTTACGTGGACATCTCTTTTTCTTTGACGTTCTTTTATCAGTTATACTCAAATATTATTCTCTTACGAATAAGACGCACTTAATCGGTGCTTAACTTATCACAAATCCAGCGATAAGTTGGTGCGACGGAGAAGTTGCATTAATCAGTCGTATTAAGTATGCAGCATTTAGTTGTTTTTTTTTTTGGAAAGAAACAAGATCTGTTGTTTCAATAAGATGTCACTTCAAGTAACTGAACAATCCAACAGAGCTTTGAGAGATCTGAAGGTTTTATTTTACAGCAAATTAACAAATACAACTCGACAATAATTTCATGGTTAATTCTGGTTCGATCTTTGAGTCAATATTTGGCATAGAGCAATATAGAGTATCTTCTCGACTTGCAGCAAGTGTCAAGAAATTCGCCAAAAAAGAATAAAAAAGAAGCGCTTACACTATTGAACTTATTTGATTATGATGAGTTCTTTGCCAATCGCACCTGACAAAGCCTTCAATCGAACAGAAACTAGATTTTCCAAACTATTTGTGTTTCTCCATACCTTCTATTTCTTACTCAAGCTGAAAATAAGGATAACCACTCAAGTCAGCATTGTCACCATCTTTGTACGGATATGCACTCTTAAGATAACGCTTATTAGTCTTGAACGGGAAAGAGTAGATAGACCTATGTTTTGTAGATCGAAAGAGAAGAATTTTGTCTATTGAATCGTCACACTGCACTTCAACATTCAAATCGAAGTACTTTCAGCATACTATATTGAGCAAATCTAGTGAGCAAAGACTTATTTCTATGGTACTATGTTGTTCGTTCATCCAGTCTTCATTCCTTCGAAATTTCTCTTTCGAATTGTGAAATCACGAGTTTCTATCTTCTTCCTATTACGACTTACCGAGAGAAAAATTTTAAAGATTAAAATTGATTATCATTTCTCAATCGATTTTAATCAAATACACCAAAGATAAGTACTTTTCTCGAGATTCGAACACGATAGCCCAAATTTTTCATGATTTTTCTGGATTGCTCGTGTTTAGAAGCCATGAAATTGCCACCAATCTTTGCTCCAACAAATGAAATACGTACAATCAGTCATTTGTAATGAAATATTTGCTTTAAAATAAACGATGAAAGTTTTATTTCAAATGTTTATTTTTCGTAATTTAATCTTCGTATAATTTCATAATATTTCAAAATAAAGCATTGACATATTTTTATCAAATAAATTAATACCGTTGACTACTTCGGGTGGGACAAAAGTTCTGTATTAGTTTTGTTTTCAAAATAGCACTGGGATGAAATGTCGTAGAGACTTCAATTGTTTTTATGCTTAGCAAAACCACACAGTCTAGCGTAAAAATACATGCAAGAATTTTATTGGAAATATTTCTCAACGTCTATGTAAATTTTAGAACAAAAGGCTTCGGATAATTCTTCCGCAACTTTGGTCATGATTTTTTTAATCCAAATGTATTTGTTTGAGGTTTTTCATTGTCCACGTTTAGCATTTTCGAGTATCCTACATATCTACAGCTACTTATTACAATGAATGCTTTCGCGTGATATGAAAATAATTAATCTTGCATACAAGAGAATAAACACTAGACAATTCAATTAAAAACAAATTGATTTGACGGATTTGGGATATGTTATGCAAAGAAACATGTTTAGCTGAATATCACATATAGAATCTGTGTCGTATTTCAAATAATATTATTTCACAAAGGATTCAATAATCTTTTCTTTTCATATAAAATTTATTCCTTCTGGTAATATCTCTCTCGAAATAGACTTTATTCTTCTTTGCTGCAACCAATAGTGATGAAAAACATTGACACTAGACAATATCATAAATTCGTTTATTTTGACAGTTATGAAACATGTAGAAAGTTTTTTCGTTTGTATATCAAAAGATTTTTAGTGCATATGAATGATGTAGTTGTCCTTAAGTATTGAAATATGTCGCGTCATTAATCTCAATAATTAAATAGTGAAAATTTCTCAAAATGTAATCGAAAATTTTGTATCTTTCTGATAATTTAATGGTTCGGATTCCGGGTAACTGTTTGAATCGACGAAGTCTTCCTTCAATCATTGAAATAAACAAGGCAAAAAGCAATATATTAAAACTAAGAAGAAAAAGAGTTTTATCATTTGACTTTATTCATTGGTGACGTATTAAGATAAGTAGAATAAATATTAATATTTCCACAAATAGCAATGATACATACATCGATACTAATAGAGTCGAGACTAATATTTCATACAAGTGATCTAATGAAGGAAACTATGTTGTCAGTTGAATTAATCCTTATCTCATTGATGCTTCATTAATGAATGATTCTTTTTTGGAAAAGCCGTATTTTTGAAAGTAGTAGATATAAATGAAGATAGAATGTACACTTGACAAGAAATCTGTGTCAACATACATTTCTCGATAATTTTATTCCATAATTATTTTTTTCCTGCTTGTTTAATGTATATCATGAATTGTTTGCTTCCCGTATATAAACTGAATGAATGACGATGATGTATCATTATTTATTTATTTTAATAAAGCAAAATTCTACTGAACTCAAAAACAAATTAGTACATTTTATTTTATATGGAAAAAACATGCAGACTGGTATGATGTAAAAAATAAAAAATAAATCGTCTGATGTCCAAGAAAAGAATATTTTTGTGCTCTGTTTACATTATAATAAAACTGATAAGAGTGTAAATGACATTGTGTTATCATAAAAGATTGGATGGTTTCACACAGATATTGTGTTTACAACTGTCAACTATATCAAACGTTCGATGCCAATAGCTGACATAATTAAACAATAGATAACGTCAAAACTAGGACGAGTACTTTTGATAAAATATAAATATTTCTATTATAATTCCTATGCAATTTGAATTAAGTTCATGCCTAGTAGATTTATTTTAGATTGTTCGTGTGAATATTATGTTCACTGAAACCCAAACGCACATTCTTTCAAAACAGTTAGGAGGCCAAACATCGAAAGTCAAAATATCGAAGCGGAAAAACATAAAAAGAAACGTTGAACTAGATTATGTCGACACTCAAGAACTAGAAGAAAAAAAATGAATCACACTCAAGTGTTATTCGTTCTTTTACCATATTAATCAGCAATCTGTCCGCACGCGCATATATATAATTATTTTTCTTTCTATGGTCAAGACCTTGATTACTTTTTCTGTTTTTATTTGTTGAGTTTTCTGTCTTATTATTATGTGCATATACATGCAAGATAGACTTAAACTAGGGGTGTTCCAACGTCGTTACTATTAGGTGAAAGAATTCAAGGACTATTTTTTCTAGAATATGTGAGCAAATAAAAACAATAAAATACTAAACTCCATTGAGATAAGAAAGGAAGTTCTTCAAAATTTTGGATACCTCATGCTGTTTTCTAAGAATTCTTCCTTAACATACTTTCAACTGCACTGACTAAGTATCTACTTTACATTTTTTCGCAACGTATTTCAATGGAAAATACAATAAAAATTTTATTATGTCGATGTTTTCTTTCAATATTTTGCTCTTTGATATTGTAAGTTTCGATGTTTTGTAACTGTAGGATTCGACATCAATGCATTTGATCGTTTATTAATATGTAGAGAAGGAAAAAAAGCAAGGATGCGAATGTTGATCAATACAAAAGTAATTTTCTTTTTTTTGTTTATTCATGAACATGATAGGTAACATAATTGTCTCATGTCGATTTTCAATGTTATATTGATGGCTATTTTGAGTAAAATTGTATCATTGCTTATGTTTGTATGAGGCGGCACAATTACCAGCGATTACACGAATCGGAGAAGGAAAGAGAACGCGAAGAGAATTGATTCATCTCTATATAAATATACGAGCACATATTCATTTATTTTGAGTGTCTGATAAAAGCAAAAATCTAGATGGCTGATTCCAGATTTTGTTTTAAGCTGGTAAAAGATAAAGATCTGGAATTATTTAACAAGGTAAATCAATCTATTCATTTCTTTTATGTATTTTCTTTATCGATACATCGATTGTTTTAGTATAAGAATTCTATAAATAGCGAACTTCGAAAAAAACATCCATAAATTCCGGCTAATTTTGAGCTGAAAGCAGTGCATGTTCGTTATTTCGAAGCCTGTGGCACGATTCATGTTTTCAAAGCATGAAAAAAAAGTCATTCGATATTGTATCAATCACTTATTTCATGTTAATATTTTAGATCGCTCTGCCCGATACAAATTCGTCAAAATTTCTTTTCTTACAGGCGGAAAACCACCTCAGTACTCACCAGAGCCTCACATCGAGGTTGAAGATACATTAACATCAACAGCTGATGAGTAATCTGCTTTTTTTTCGATTCATCATTGTATTTTCATAGACTTTTGTAACTAAATATCATTGATCCTATGCCATTCTGATTTTTGCGACTTAGACTTACGGTAGATCCTGCATGGCAATGTAGAAAAAAAAAGAAATTGTTCACCAGATAAATTGACAAACTACTGAACTGAAACAAATATTGCTACGACGTGGCTCGATGACAAGTTTGCATTTCTTGAACAATGTTATAAACTAAACGTTAAATACCATAATTAGTATACATTATGAGACTTCAAATATTGTGTTTCTTGAAAACTAATTTAGAGTAACGAAAGAAGGCAAAAGCAGCAGGATTTCAGATTACAAGATTTACAAAATTTTTGAAATATTCAATAAGGTAGAATGAGTGAATCTCCGAAGCAGTATCATGCCCATACTAATCATATGGGAGTTTTTTCACAATTATGAAATCCTATAAGTTCATAAAATAGTGATTGAAAGGTTTTCTCATACAGTATCATTAAGAGTTAGTCTGATAAAACACACTATTGATGGAGAAATTTTGTAATTGAATGCTCCAGAACAAAAAAAAAGTACCTGTTAAATACTGAGAATGTGCATTTTTCTAACATCATGAATATTATTAATGGTCTATTTGTTGAACAATCTCATCCATAAAACCTGCAAAAAAAAGTGTCTGAGCATCATGACGATTGTTTTCGCTTCTAGTTGCATATAAAGACAAAGTTCGATGCCGCTAATTATCCAAAAGCTTGAGGATGTGGGTAGGTGTGGATATGGATGTGGGGTGGGGTATATTGATGTGTGTGGATGTGAGTCTGGATCTTCTTCTTATACACATCTTCACCTACACCCACATGGAATGAATAGATCTGGACGATTAAGTCCACATTGTCAATATAACTCGCTGTTTAGAGAAAAAAAGACAGAAAAAGAAGGAAAATGATCTCATATGTACACGATGAAAGAGAAAGATTTGAACGGCCATCGAAATCTAAAAGAATCCCAAAAGTTAGAAGAAAGTATCTCCCGGATTAGGAAAATCATATAATCGCTGTTCTATGCTTGCTGTTACATGATTGATGACAACGCACGATTCCGAAGTGAAGGTGTTCGCTCATGTTCTCCAGTAGAAATTGTCTTTCGTCGCCGAAGAGTTCGCAATGAATTATGAGTCTTCATTTTGTTTTTGACTTCTTGAACAATTGATTGAACATATTGAATTTCGAATGAACGGAGTTTTCCTGATTCATCACGATCGAGAACATTATAATTTTTGATGTAATATGACTTGATGAATCCTACACCTAGGTCTTGAAGTAGACGTGTTAAAATGTTGAGTACTCGATAGATAAGTTGACTTTCATGCCATCTATATGTTTTTTGTTGTCGAGCGACTTCATGAAAAAATTCAGTTTTGAGCATGTACGACGTTAGTAATTCGTCTGCATTATAAGTTAGTTCTGCAATTTTACATGTGAATGGAATCAGGCCTCGAAGGATTTTCAAGCATACATAAGCGTTTTTTCTTTCGACTCCGACTTTTTGAAAATATTCTATTTCAGCTCGTGAAGTTGATATGCGCCAAAGATATGTTTTATCGGGTTCTGTACTGCGTGCAATAGTATGAAACTCTGGCTCTGCTAGAGGACATACTGTAATTGACGTTCGAGGCCATCCATGAACAGTAACGCAAGGAATAACATCGACTTTTATTTTCAAACTAGCATATTGGATGCCATACCATTGGGCATAGATGGCTGTGCCACAACGTTTATCTCCACTTGTCCATTCAAGTTTTAAATGTTTGAATAATGAAAGTGACTTTTCATTAATGACCTTTGCTCTTACTGATGTTAAACATTGGTAAAATTTGTTGCGTACTTTTTCGGATGAAATGCACTGCGTAACAGGTTCCATGTAGGACTCAAGCGCTTTTCCCGATTGATTACTAGTAAGTGGACGTAAGCGACCGAATCCAGCTGGGTCGTTATCATGTTCTTCAAATTTGCATAATCGTTCAATTTCAGTAAGATTAATCATAAAATCAAATTCATCAGGTTGTCCAACACGGGTTCCTTCGTAGTAAGATCCACTACAGATGATGTGATTTCGAAAGAGTGGATTCATTTCTTCTACACGATGCATCAACTCTCGTACATAGGTTTCAACCTCGCTTCGAATAACGTCTTCTTCTGCTGTGTAATGAATGAGACCAATCCTGTCGAGAGAAAGCAAAGGTTTTAAGTAGTCACTGGGTAGAGAGCATGTTTCCGAAAGATCGAATGTTTCTGCGGATGAACAATTTAGTAGAGATAAGATTGTATATTGTCTATATTGTTCAGCTATGTCACGACCACGAACCATATGAGCTGACGAATCTTGTGTGTTCATTATATTCGATACAAGATTCTGAGCGCCAATGGCAATCGCTAATAGAAACGGTGTCCAATTGAAATTATTCGCTTGGTGAACATCAAAACCTTTGAGTATGAGATACTGAGCGAATTCAATATGTTGATTGATAATAGCAATATGAAGTGCAGTGTTGCCGACCCAGTCTGTAGTGTTTCGCATTTCGATCAATCCTTTTTCTCCTTTGTTTCGATAGATGTGATGAAATAGTACTCGAGCTGCCTTCATTCGACCGTTCTTCGCCGAAAAATGCAGTGGACTCCAACCATACATATCCGACGTGTAAGTAGATTCCTTACCCTTACGGAGAAGGAGTCGTACACATCGTGTCCGATTATAGAGTAAGGCCGTTTGCAATGGCGTTCGCTTATCTATTTGAAGTTGGTAGGGATCAGCTCCTTTTCGGAGTAAACGTTTTACTATACGGTGGTAACCGTTTCGAGCTGCAACAAATATGGGTGATGCTCCACTGTCTTTGGCTAAAAGTACTGATGCATCATATTCGGTAAGATATAAAACACATTTAAAATGTCCCATGTACGAGGCTTGATATAGTGGAGTCGTTCTGTCATTTGCATATTGATCGGATAAGGCACCGTGTTTGAGAAGTATGTGTACCGTTGTTTCATGCCCTCCTTTAGCTGCAATCCACAAAGGTGATTGCCCATTCATATCTACAACATCATGCCTGGCTCCATACTTCAGTAGCACTTCGACTAGTTTAGTATAGCCACGTTTACAAGCATAGTATAATGCTGTTTGGCCAGCATGATCAATAATATCTGGAGGTACTCCACTCATTAGACCACGTTCTAGCTGCGTTATTGAATCTTTTAATACAGCATCGTGCAGATCAGTAAGGCTGTCTCTACGACGAAATCGATCATAGCAATTCATCATTAATTAAAATCTTCAATAAAGGAAATTCATGCTCTCGATGCCACAACTCCGGATAAAAAAACATTTTTCGGGTGTAGATGTGAATTAGTGTATGACTTTGATTCTTTTCTCTAAACCCACATCCACACTCTATATCTTAACCCTTATCATAGATAAAACTTTCCTATTAGAAAATATCAAAGCTTTGAGTTATTAATCAATTCATTGGCCTCAAGAATTCCATATTATTCAATGCATGTAAATAAATTTAAAAAAAATAATGATCAAAATCATAAGAATTAATCGTATTCACAAAATTTGAAACAACTGTTGGCTTAACAGGAAGATAATAGAAAAAATATATACCGTAACACGACGATGTCACATACAAAATTTTCAGTCGATATCAGACTTGTCTCAGTTATTCTCTCAGAAAAAGTCAAGATAGAAAATATCTGAACTCTCCCTTAGACATTACTGAATGACACAAAACATCACTACTTTGCATTGATGCCTTGTACCTAAATACAAAGATCTTCAGTCTAAAATATTTTGATTACTTCTTGGCTCGAAGTATTCCACATTGACTTTGAAATAATGCCCGAAAACGCAAAGCTATTTGCTTTCATTATCACCGTCATGAATGTTTTACTGTTGAATCGATGGGATTCTTACATTGCTTCTTGTCAAAACCTTGCTTACCTTATAGTGATACTACATCGTTCTCGACTCAGCTATATATGACGCATGATATCGGGGAAAAAACCAAGTAAACTAATTATGCAATGTAAAAAAATTGTCACGCATTAAAATAGTAAACGGAAGCGTAATGTATGACACTACAAACTCGTAAATATTTATCATTCAATCGTCCCCAAACGAAGTTGGTTTGTTCCGACCGATTTCTTAGTCATGCCTATTGCGTAAGTCGTTTGGATATTATAATATTATGTGTGTCTTATTTAATAAAATTGTTTCTGCTTTCGATGTTATGCTAATAAGTTACTAATCGTGGCGAAATGAATATTATGGAATAAATGGAGAATATTGTGTGTTGAGCTTTTTTTGACTAGGCTTAATGCTGTATATGTAATGCTGCCTACTTGATGTATCGAAAAGATTTTATTTTTACTCTTTCTACAAAGCAATGTAATGTGTTGCTTACTCATTGTAAATTTACTTGGTTTTTGCCATGCAATTGCTCGCGAGCGTAATTAAAAAAGCTACGCACATTACTTACGACAAGATTCGCGTGAGTGCTTTACTGACAGTGAATCTTGTACACGCAATTACATCAAAAAAAATTTCATTCAAATGATTTTGAATAATAAAATGAAGTAGAAAAACTAAAACAATTTTTTATTTTGAAACTCATAGTCGATGCTATAATCACCTACAAATATAAATTTTAAAAAAATTGATGAATATTCTCTCATGTGTAGTTGATCTCAATTTATTCCAATGGTATATACTGATGAATATATCTATTTTGTGAACGTTAATCTATAAGAAAGCGAGAACAGGTTGGCGTTTGATGAACACATTTTGAAGGATGTGACATCAAAATGAGACGAAAAAGTAAAAATTTCGTTTTCTGGTGAAATAGGAATTCTATTCCACATTTAAGCTCGTTAATAGTCTTAAGAAGGCATGACAAATATATTTAGTCGACTTTTAACAGATACTTAATCATATATTTTGAACATAAAAAGTAAAAAAGCCCTTACCTAGAGCAAAGAAAGTAAGAAATGATTATAAAAAATACACTTATGTTCTTCTTCTTGTTAGTCATGCATGTTGGAATTTTCCCTTACTTTCTATTACTCAATCTTTTATGTTGTTCTCTGGATTTTCCTTGTTCATAGTTTATTGGAAATTTCCAACTCCTTCTATCACTTCTATATATACAGCGTTGTGTTGTTACATATGAAGAATATTCAGTCATCCTTAAATTCAGTTATACAAATAAACTAGAAGTGGGATTAAGTTCTCACAGTAGAGCTCCAATGAGAAAAACACTAACGTCATGGAGGCATTTAAAATGAGTTTGTTTATCTAATGCACTTTTCACCATGAAAACTCTAATGGGATCAGAATCAAATATAAATAATTGTAGTTAACTTAAATGTCTATCCCAGAAAAATTCATCAGACTGATTGAAACAGATCACAAGAGCCGAAAAACTGACTGCAAGATACCCAGAGCGAAAATATCTCCTTGATTGAAATCTCACTAACGAGCGGCTTAATCGAACAAGACCCAAACATCGTATCTTAACTGAATTGTCACCACACGACAACGTTTTTATAATACATCCTTAAAAGCTTGACAAATAGTTATATCAAGGATAGATATTGAGTGTTGGTGTATGTCTTCTCAGTTATATCAACACCACAATGGATTTCATATTACAATTAATAGGCATACAGATCATGAGCAATAGCAAGATACATCGAAACAATCGACATTGTCGCCAATAAATCCAGAAAATAGATCATCATCATCGGAATAATTCACCTATTCCATCGAACCCGTCAACTGTTAAAGTTCAACAAGTTCATAGAAGGGTGTGGATGGTGTTGCTGTACCGGACATATCCACATCGACATTCTATGAATCTTCAATGGCTTTTCTATGCATATGACTTAATAATTACACAAGTTTTGATCAAATTCAATCACTTCAAAGATGTCGAAAAATCCTTTCAGACAACGAACCAAGTCTTTGAAAATAACTCGATTTATGTCTATAGTTCAGTGAATAATGTACGCTAGTATGGATGAAATCTATTTTGTTCGTTTTGATAGCACAACATTTTTGAAAAGTTTCTCGTATATATTTTTATAAAGGATCACTTAATTTGACAATCAGCTGTGTGACAACATTTGAAAAGACGAAAGTGAATGAATAAATTGAAAAAAATCCGTAATAACTTCTCCAACATTGTTTTGTCTAAATGAATTTTGTTCTTAGTCAACAAATAATTTCATGAGCTGGTTGGATTTATTTTTTGGTTACAAAAAAGTTATCAGTTGAAATAAACATAGTTGTGGTCCATATTTTTACTTAGGGCTGACCAAAAGTTTTGATCAAGGTGCTTAAAGGCTCTTGCCGGATAAGATAATCTATTCAGAAATGAAAAATCAAATATACCATGTTCTAGATCTTTTTGCGGCGCGTCGAATGGTATATAATAAATCCTGTTTTTATAAGACTTCAAAGGAACTAGAGTCAATTTACTGATAGGCAACTGCACACTCACACCCATTACGAACGATGATGGACGCTACCCCGATGCAGATACTAGTCCTTTATTATGAAAAATTAGAATTGAGCCGTTCACTTTTCTTCAATCGCTTTCTAATAGAAAAAAATTTGCGAGCGAACCTAAGAATATTCCTCTTGTAGTGAGAACAGCATACATATTCTTTTGAAAAAACTCATTGTCCATTCCTGATATCTTTGATTCCAGATGTAATTATCAAATCAAAACGAAAATAACAAAAATAAAACAATAAGTAAAATATGTGGAGATAAACATCATGCTACAGTAAAATAAGATGGTAAAATCATTCGAGAATATGGAAACGCAACAATAGATGAATTAGATCAAATTGATTCATCATCGAATGATAATAAATTGGCAGGAAGAGACATTCGGAGTTTTCTTAACTTTTTTCTTAAATAAAAGTTTTTTGTTCAAATGATCTACTAAAAATATACGAAAGAAAATATCTTTCAAGTTGGTACTAGTACAATTCGTCGCGATCATTTCGTCGCATATAAACGAGAGAATACATTGATTGAATTAAGTGATTTAGTTTAGTATGTTGTTTAATTAATCACCCTAAAAATGTTTTCCATTAGAGTTTAATGACTCTTTCTTGATAATAGTTTTTCTCACAAAAAATGATAGGGGTGTCAATTTACAATTTATTTAACCTAAATTTAAATTAAATTTGAATTTAGGCTGATTTAAAATTTTAAAAAATTTAAATTTTTGAGTGGAAAAATTTGAATTTGAATTAACTTTAAATTTAAATCATTTTTTTTTAAATCTAATAAATTGTTTTAATTCGCGTTAGTCATCGGTATTTGGAAAATACATGACTTAAACAGTAATACATGAAAAATAAGAGAAAAATCTAGTATTTATATAAGTTTGACATATGCTCATAAATATGAAAATTTCTGAACAAATCATACATGATTTCTGAACTTCAATCTTTCATATAATAAAGACGCTCAAACATCCAAATTTATTAGCATAATTTATAGAAGAAGGCCTATTTTTATTTCTAGAAAACACGAAAAAAAGTTTGACTTGTAACATCTTCAATAAAGTCAAAATCAATTTGAGTCACCTTTTCCTAAAATTTCCCCACTTTAAATTTAAAAAACTTAACTTGAGTTTAACTTTTCATTTAAAAGAAATTTTTTTGTTTAATATAAATTTTCAAAAAATTTATGTCTTGATGTAATATTTTTTTAGAATTTAAATGTGCTACCTCTAAATAATGATATCCTAAGAACACTCTAATGTTATAAAATTTAGTACGATTATTTTTATTTAATGGTGGTATCACCGAAAATCTAAAACTCACTTGGGAAATTTTCAAAGCCACTTCATCCAGTGATCGAGCAGCTTTGCAAATCACAGAAAATAGTCGCAAAAAATACTGAATGAGTCGTACACTCCAAATAGCAGCGAATTTTGCCTTTATTTCTTGTTGTTTTTCTTACCTGAAGATTTCTTCAGAAGTCGTCTCCTGAAAGAAATTGAGTCTCATTTGTTAGCAGACTTTTTGCACTTTAACAGAAGGATTTTGTAAGCAAGTTTTTCAGAATTAAATTATTTGTTTCTTCGAAGTGCGTCTTCTGCTCATCATGTAGATCTAATAATTCCGTACTAGAGCATACATTTACGTGATTAATTAAATAACATACTATACTACATCACTTAATTTAATCAATGTATCCTCTCGTTTATATGCAACGAATTGATTGCGACGAATTGA